TTTTTAGTAGAGACGGGGTCTCGCTCTTGCTGGTCTCGAACTCCTGATCTTGAGCGATCCACCCGCCTCAGCCTCCCAGAGTGCTAGGATTACAGACGTGAGCCAGCACGCCCGGCCTACTAGTATGGTTTTAATATTCATGCACATATCTGGAAGAGACAAACGAATGTAACCAAAGAGAGTATCTCCTGGCAATATTAAATGGAAATGGGGAATTCTCTCATCTGTAGTGATTACTTAGAATGACTCGCTGAGGGGAAAAGGGTGTCTTTAGGTCTTCAAGAGGAAGTGTGTTCCGTAGAAATGGAAAACTCAAATGAACTTGTGCCTTATTTGGGGAGATGGAATATTTTCCACATCAGTTCCCAATATAGTCTCTTACTAAGAATATGCTCCTAAGACGAACTTGCACAGAAAAGATGCTTTGCTGTCTTCATCCACTGATAAGCTTTGAGCTCTTTAAGGTGTATCAGCTCAACTCTTCCAAGGGATACCACCCTTATCTCCTATCTACCTATCACCAAAGACAGGTGATGAGAATATCAGGCATAACACCCCTCAATGAAGACCAGCAAATAAATGTCTATAGTATGAAAGAGGAACATGATTTAAGTTTTCAGTGTAGAAATTCCACATACAGATGGTGTATTCTGAGGACAGGTCCCTATCATAAAATCTTCAGAGTAATTTAAAAGAAAACCTAACTTCGTAGAAGTAAAAAAAGATAATAAAGAGATATCTGATACTAACAATAGAAAAAAGTCTCAGTCTGAGAAAAAGATTCTTAATATACAGTTCTTCTTACAATTATATTTTCCAAAGTAAGTTGTACAGAGGAAGAAAGTTTTTCAAAGCTAGGGTTATGATTAAATTCTTCTCCTTAATGACTGAAAAAGGGTATATCCTCAAAATATCAGTAACTAGGGTAAAAAGACATATGGTTTAAGTTACATCAGCTTCTGGTGCTGTCAAATCTATTTTTTTTAATGTTTCAGTGGATTTTTCTTCAGCAAACACGAGTTAAAATCGATCACACACAACCGTTTGATTCTTACCCCTTGTTTGGGGATGCTCAGGCCACAGCTGATTTGTTCTTCCTATTACTAGCGTTTTCAATTACTGTATCAGGTTTTTTTTAACTTCGAACCGACTTACGGCATCTAAATTATTACTTTACTATTTCTAAGTTCTTTCTTAAAAGATGATCCCATCCTATTATAGGAGACATTATAAACAGGCATACAAGCAGGCATAAAAACCAGCTTGTATAATTCTAAAAATAGGACTGCGAACTGAAGACTCGGAGAGAATAGAAAGCTGCAGGTTCTAAATTACTGGGCTTCTCTTCACCATCAGTGCAAAAGCACGGTTCTGGTTTCAGCTTCTAAAAATAGAGGTTTGCTTATTTTTTTTTTAAATCCTTCAACCTTCTCATGTCAGCTAAGAACATAATTACTAGGAAGGAGTCTTACCTTCAAAGGAAAGTATGATGCCGTGTGGGCCTATTTAAAAAAAGCAACAACTTAAAGCAGATTCCTTCCTTCAAGAGTGCCGAATGACCTCTTGTCAAGTCCTGGGGTTATGAGTATTACAGTCATTGTTCAAT